AAAATGTGTTAAAGGAAGAGTTTAGCTCTCTATAATGCTATGTGCTAAAACTCAAGAGCCAATGAGGTTGAAATGTGCATGTGCAGCACGCCTAGGCACTAGGGTTTCCAGCGCCAGACCATGGTCACAGTAACTGGGTGGGGCTCAAAGAGATGTGCTGCGACCATTAAACCTGAGCGACATTCACACGCTGTGAGTTTGAACTCGACCCGTGGCAGAAATCTGAGCATTATTTGTAGGCATATTGCTACTATCTCCTCTATGAGGGCAGTTTTGTACTTTTGGGATATGTGCCCTGCTAATTTGTACTAGGGATGTAAATATAACTGAAAAAGTTAACTATTTAAACAATTAAAATTATATCGTTTAATCGATTAACTGATTAAAGAGAGAGGGGTCGGGGTCACTCTGGCCAGTCAGCCGGCCTGAGGCTGGGGTTGCTCCGACCGGCTTGGGGTCACTCCTGCTGGCTGGCTGACCCAGGGCTGGGGCTTCTCCGGCCAGTTGGACTGGGGCCAGGGCTGGAGTCAGCCGCCCCGGCGCTGGGGCTGGCCAGCTGCCCTGGGGTGGGGGTTAATGGTTAGGATGGGTTAACCGATAAGACTGCTTACCGGTTAACCATTTAGCCATTTAATATTTTACATCCCTAATTTGTACTGCTAATTTTGAAGGGGCTCTATTTTCTGAAAGATAATAAATTACAAACGCTCTGTGCAGATAGGTGAGAATGACTGCTAGGCATGTTGCTACTTTTTCACCAGGGGGATTATTATAGCAGAGTGCCAGCGCTGATTAACTACAGGCAAGACAAAAGGCAGTTAAGATAACTTAATCGTCTTTCCTGAACAATGGAACCAAGTATCATCAGAGGAAGGTGGTTAACGGGTTCCTGATACTCAGCCCCCTAACATGAAGTGCTCACAAGAGTTTTAGATTCTTATAAGGTTTTTGGTGCCAAACTAGGGCATATGGGGGGATTGAAGCAGTGAGGGGGAATGTAAAAGGTGTTGCAGCAGTGCCAGGGCGTGGGGACTGGAAGAATGCCAGGAGAGGGGCTTAGGGCTGCGGCAAATAGAGCAGGGATTAGGGAGGGCGGATATATAGAGATGCGTGTTAGGATCTGTGCCAGATGTGTCTGTATGCCAGGATCTGGGGTGTCTGAGCCTATCTCCCCGTCCCCACATATATGCTGAGATCTGGGGTAAGGGTGTGAGCCCCTCTCCCTGGCCTCCTATGTGTGTACTGGAATCTAAGGGGGCTGGCCAGCGTTAGGGAAAAGGCCCTGCTGGAGATGGTGGCCATTGTGAGAGTGAAGGGCCCAGATGTAAGGAGAGATGTACGCCCATCAGCAAGGATGCATATGACCTGCTATTAAGCTGCTGCCTGTAATATGCATACAGCAGCAGAGTGTGCCAGAGAGCAAGGAACTACTTTTAAACTGCTAATCCCTTTCTAAGTGCTAATGCCTTCATGGGACCAGAAGGAGAGGTTTAGCTCACAGTTCAACACTGTGAAATGGACCATGACTACCTTTTCGCTCTTGGCCCGGTAAGCAACTCCGCCCTTCAAAAATCTCAAAGCACAACCATAACCGTCACTGCAGGGGGGATGACCAGTTATGAATCACTTAGCATTCTTTATAATTACCTACTCACAGTTGCACCTCAACTTCAAACCCAGGTGATAACTACAGCTGCCTCAGTTAACATTGTCTTCTACAAATAACATTACGCTTTCTACTCAAAAACCAGGACATTAACCCACAAAAACTATGCAATGTAGAGTCAAGATTGCACAGGAGTATCTTGTGTCCTTCCAGAACATCAAGTTCAGCTACATTCAAACCTCTGAAAACGAAATACAGCGATGCCCCCAAACATTTATAACACACATACTAGCACTCTGCCTTTTCAGTGCAGTACATTCAGGAAATAGGCATAGGACCCCTGAAGGACACCATCTAAAATGAGCTCTTTGCTAAGGCAAAACTTGTGTTAGGTGAGGTGTATGAACAGGAGCTACCTACACCTGGTCTATCCTCAAACACTTAGGCCTTGGCTACACTTGAGAATTCACAGCGCTGCCGTAGCAGCGCTGTGAATCGCGAGTGTAGTCGCACCGCCAGCGCTGCGAGAGCTCTCTCGCAGCGCTGCAAGTACTCCACCTCTCCGAGGGGAATAGCTTGCAGCGCTGCGAGCGAGCGTGCAGCGCTGCAGGCGCTGATTACACTCGCGCTTTACAGCGCTGCACTCGCTGCGCTGGGGGGAGGGCGTTTTCACACCCCTGAGCGCAGCAAGTTGCAGCGCTGTACAGCGCCAATGTAGCCAAGGCCTTAGCCTGGCCCAGAGACACCACCACATTTGCTAAATTTTACCACTCTTTACAGCGCCTGTAACTTTACACAGAGGATGGCATTTAACAATACTTTCCACCTACCTATCATTAAACCCACAGACCACTCTCATATCCCTCCTCACTGATGACAAATCCCACAGAAAGACCCTTGTGCCCCATTATTTGACAAAACCTGCAGAACTTAGCTCTGAAATGAGGCATACTGGATCTCTCAAGGTACACCTGAACTTCTTTCTTTTGCTCACACACACAAGGGGAAGGTAGGAAGTCAGAGCAAGATAATTGGCTCAGACTCCCCCACTCCACATGGGCAGGGTTCCCTCAGATCTTTTCATATCACAGTGAAAGCTCTGCCAAGCTGCTCCAACTAATGCACCCTCCATTCCATAAAGCTAGACCTAACTCAGTGAACGCAACTGGAGGATATGCAGATAACCCCCAGTGGCTATTGCCAGCTTCAAAGGGTCAGAGTTAAGGTTGCATTGGCACGTACATTAACTGTATTTCCTGGTTTTCAGAGGAGAGGCTTGAGTGTAGCTGAACTCAACCTTTTGGAAGGGCAAAAGTTACCACTGAGCAACCTTACCTGTGTGTTACCTAAGTACTTTGTTGGTGAATTTTACTTCTGTTTGTACAGCAAAGTGAACAGAGAGTGACCCATATTCTATTCTGGTTTGTGCACCATCAATAGAACAGTTAATTAAATCCCATCTGTAGACTCTTTACTCATGATTATGCACAAGCCAGAGGAACTAAGCTTGAATTTCAGGTCCTAGGTTAAGTTTGTAAGAATGGTAATTAAAGAAAACCTTTTTCCTTACCAAGTGAGCAAATCTCATCTAGACAAAATTGAGAAGCAAACATGGAACCCCATTATGCCAATGTAACAGCCGTTAACAATATGAAATATAAAATATCAGACCTATAGCTATTGTCTTAAAATCATGAGATGAAATCCTGGCTGTATTAAAGTCAATGGCAAACTTCCCATTGATTTCAATGGGACCAGGATTTTACCTGTTCTCCTTTACGTACTGAACTTTATTCTCATTTATTTCTCAATGAATATGCAGGCTCATCAGATTTTAAATGAATATGCAGGTCAGGGTTGTCCTAATGGGAGGATTTTGGTCCTCCTTTCTCTCTCCTCTCATGTGTCCTCTGATCCAACTGTGACCTTATTTCTTCCTTTTCTTTTTTCTCTATTTATAGTTGTCTCCACATTATTGTTTCACTTTAGTATTGGAATACCTTTGTACTCACTGTCTCCTGAAGTTTCGTATTCTATTTTCTAGGCTTTGCCTCCTTTTTCTCTTCTTCACTTTCTTCTCTGTTCATTCCATCTGTCTCCAGCCTTCATTTCACTCTTCTCTTCTCCCTTCTTCCTACCCTTGCTATCTCCTTCTTTTTGCCATTCATTCACTCTCTCTCTGCTACATTCACTCTTCTCTCAAGCATCCCCTTAGTCCTTTGTTTTCCCTCCCTACTTTACCCCAGAAATAGGCTCCATTTCATCCCTTCTTGCCCTTCTGCAAGCTTCTGTTCCTGATGCAGGACAGGTGGGAGAAATGCAACTAAATCGGATGAAGACTTTCCACTTGCAACACAGAGTCAGAATTAATCAGATTCCATATTGATTTGGTTTTGTGCAGGCTCAAGATATTGTCAGGTGAGTTCACTGGCAACATGTGACTGCTCTGCTGGTAGTCTTTGAGGTGCACATGTACTCAGCCAGCCTGCTGTCAACTGCAAAGTCTTAGCAGGCTGATTTCTCCTTTGGGCAGCCAAAGGGGCAACCAAAAGCTGAGACAGAACACAAGTTTTTGTAAAGCTGATCCAGATGGATCTTGAAAACGGGGACATTCCCACTATAGATGGTTTATACCTGCATATGTAGAAGCTAAATGTACCTAGGTTCATTCATATTTAATGCCCAACTATATCTGAAGTTGGAGGAAAGACAGAAATGTGCTCTCTTTCCACTTATGTTTTTTTTTTTTAAATCAGTTGTTCGATAACCGATGTTAAAAACTGACACTCAGTGTGGGTCTTATGGATAAACATATTTCTGTTCAGGATCTAGATCTTGTTGAGTTTGCTTCCCCCGCCATAACTAACATGATAGTAGTTTCCTCCTACACTAAAAATTAGAAGTAGAACGAGGAACACACTTTCCTACATGCAACATTCAAGTTGTGTTGATTTTAGAGCCTAAATATATTGACAGATGAGAAGTGCAGCTTTCAGTAGCTCCTTGTTACTGGTTACTACTGTGCTGCTCCTGCAGTTAGTAATGTGGTGTCAAGAACAATTAAGACAATTGTTCATTTAAAGCCTCAAATATTGTACAATGCATCTATTGTAAATGCCAAGATTTATGTAGGGAAAAATCTTCGTAGCATCACAAGTTGGTCATCTGCCTTACAAATCATGCTGCATGTAATTCCTGAGGTTTATGAGATCTGAAAATAATTGCAATTTGCCTGATCCATTCATCTACTAAGACCAGCTGCAAAGCATCTAATCTTCTCTCTACACAATTTTTAATGGCTTAATTAACATAGTAATCACTTGGATTTGGAAATACATCTTGCTTGTATTATCAGTAACATGTACAATGCGCAAGTTGATAAAGGATTCACTGATTTACAAAATGCAATCATCTCTGACATTTATTACAATGAGAACAACATTACTGTTTAATCATTAATAATATAAAATTACTTTAAAAATAGAGAGGTCTTTGAGAAAACAAGAAAAAGAAGCCTTTTAAAAACAGATCTTATTTATGAAGCATTGCATTTCACTGTACACAGTCTTGTACTGTATACCCACCTAGAGGGGAAAAACTATTAAAAAAAACAATGAAAGGGGAAAAAATTGCTGCCAGATTAACCAGCATAGTGAACTTCTACACATTTATAGGTACTTTTAGTAAAAACATACATTTACTTTTCTGTAAACATCAACTTCCAATTTAGATTCTGCATTTATACAAATCAGAAGGTACCAGTATGAGGAACATTCAAACTTTTTATAAGATTAATTCAATATAATGTACTAATTTTTTAATGAAAAGAACAACAAAGGAGAAAGCAAAATATGCAAAGAGAAGCAAATAGAGCAACGTGGCCCTGGATTATCAGTTTGAATCTCTGGTCCTTGTGCTCTGCAATGCAAAGAAAATACAATCAAAGCTATGAATCCTGCAGTACCAGGGATGGTTAAGTTACTTTGCTGAACGGTGCCATATGTGTACGTGAATTCCATCTGAGGGAGCTCATATGCTGGAAAGCAGTTGCTGCTGGGAAAAAGTAAAACAGAAGAGATGCCCTACACAGGAATTTCAGTCATTCTGATGATGGAGTCACTGATTTTAATCTGTTAATCGAGAACTATAATTATAGAAACAATTAATTAATTCAGTTCCGGTATTTTCCAGCAGATGTCCTCACAAGTCAATAGTGTCAACCAGAGATGCCACCATAACAAAAACTCTGGGGTGGGGAAGGAAAGGAGATTAGATTTAAATTATGGTGATATGAAAACCTGTAAATAAAAACAAGGTAATGGTAAAAATACACTATCTATTTATCATCCTTAAATACAATCTTGAAAGATTATAAACAAAGGGCAAAAAAAAAAAAAAAAAAAAAGGGCATATCACTGGCATCTGAATGAATAAATGGCTCTAAAATGGGTATTCACAGTACTTCAGTTCTGTTGTCAGGCTTTCTATCTCCCTCTCCAGTACTGAAAAAGCAAAAGGTTCTAAAAGTGATGTTCTAGCATTTTAAATATTTAAATGTGAAGAGTGAACAGCGTGTTTCAGTTGGGGAATAACATAAAACCCTGAACAATAACCCTTTCTCCTACGTAAGAATGTCACTATAAACCTTATCACAGCCATACAGTTGATGTGATTCTGCCTGTACTACTTGCTAGTGGCAAGGACATACAAATGTTGCCACCAAATGGAGTTTCCTGTAAGCATGAGATGCCTTGGGTATTCCTGTGAAATTGCAAGCAGATGAATTTATAAATAAAGGTGATCCTCAGAGTAGCTCAATAGCTGTGAAGTTTTAATACTACAGTAAAATATTTATCTTACTTGTTCTTTCACATAGTGGACAATCAATCCTCGGTACACTGATATCTGTAGAATTAATAAAATATTAAGACCCACTTAGCTACAGATTCACTTATTCAATCAAGTATTGTTTCTGTAAGGTTATAAGGTAATTTCCCATAGTGGCAACTGATTTCAAAGAACTTTCCCTTCTACTAACAAAAATAGAAATATTTCACTTACTGTTCAGTACTATGAGAAAAGGATAAATAATTTTTCCTTTTTTCACTAGCAAAATTTTAGTGCTTATGTCAGGGAAGGCTGGTAACACTAACCAAAGCAAATAAAATGTGACAAGGTGCTATGAATGCTTCATCCCAAACCTCAGTTCATCCAAAATACAGTCTTGAGATGAAACATCCCTTTTTGTTCTCAGCTCTAAAAGAATACAAACAGTGCAGTGGTTTTGTAATAAGCATTTGTCATGGGCTAGGTTAAGAATACAAACTTCGGTGTTTCTGAGAGGTGAGAGTACACTGTGTTGCATTATTATAATTATTTGGGTGCCCACAAATAACTCTGACATTCAATGTGCTTTGAGCACTTAATTCCCTTAGGCTCCTTTGAAAATCCCACCCATAAGTAATACACTCTCCTTCCCCCTACCAGAGCTACTACTGTTAGTCTGGTAGCGGGGATATCCATGGATATCCATCTCGCTAAGTTTTTCTGCCCCATCTGACATAGTACCTGACAATCTAGCTGTGGATTGGAATCCAGCACAAAGGGAGTTCTTCTTTGGAGAGGACATACCCAAAAAGAGAGAGAACATCTGAATAAGAATTTTTGAGCAACCTTGCGAGACTGAATGGGAAAAGAAACTGAGAAGCTATATCCCCTTATGTGAAAGCTTGCAAACTTTTTAATGACTCACCATCACTGTTAATGGTGGAGCATTCATAGTCTCATTGAAATTTAGGGCAGGAAGGGACTTCAAAAGGTCATCTAGTCCATCCATAACTAACTGTGAAATGGGACCCAAGAAATCAGTTGATGTTATCAAAGTTTTCCTTCTATATTTTCTATACCTACAACTAGGTGAAAGGTGATATCACCATTTAGAGAAATAAAATTGGTTACAAAACCTCAAAGTATGAGGGCTCTTGTTAGCATGTCATCTGACATTTCAATAGCATAAATGGCTGTATTCCAAGAGGCTTATTCTGCTCTTTTTTAAAAATATGGCAATTTTTTTCACTTGATGTCCGTGAATGACCATGTTTCAATGATGCAGAAATGTCATGCTTCTTGATCGATCAAGGAAACATTTGATATAATAGCAATTTGCAGTTGAAATAATATCTTGAGCTTGCTGGAAAGACTCTCTGCATTTAATTTATCCTGAGAAGAGATTATTGCGGATTCTAGAATCTGAAAAACAAGTCAGATACAGTAAATTACAACGTTTGAGTTCTCTCAGCTTATGCGCAGGGTCCTCTTCAATTGTCCCTGAGTGGAGATATTTTCCATAACCATAACTCTTATTTTCCCTAATCACAAATTGAAGCATAGAACAACTTTGTAATATAAATATTTCCATTTTAAATAATGGATGAAAATATACAGATGAAAACTTATAACTAGACGGCAGCTACAGTGTATCGCTTGTTTGTTCAGGTTCACTCCATTGACTTTTCTCTTCCTTCTGAAGCCTAACATCCAGGAGTTTAGGTCCTAAGCAGATATTAAGTATCTGTACTTAATACACAGGTTTGCTGTAGAAACACTGTGTTATCAAAACAGACTGTCTATACAAAGCTATACATAATACTAAAGCAAAACAATTCATGGTCAGATTTTCCCTGTGGCTCTGGGCGCATTATGCAACTGTATCAAAGTAAAAAAAAACATAACCCCCGATAGACTAAGTCATCCAAATGGGACTTTTCTTTTCCAGTAAACTGTATAAGGATAACTGTACGCATATCCAAAGAAACAGGATATCATTTTATTGGATGTCTGCAGGTAATCTTATCACACAAGGGAGTGGAAGAATCTGTGGCATGGCACAACACAATACCTTATTCTAAACAATTAAATAGAAGGTTAAACGATATGTAGCATGATAAAAATCAGTAGCCTCCATATTTTAGGCACCACTGATTAATTTAAAATAAAATGTAATAAACTGAAAAAAATAACGTTGTCCATTGGTTAATCTATTGCACCGTCTTTAAATGAAACAGCACTTTGAAACTCACAAATAAAAAAGCAGCACTCTCTTTTAATACCAACACCACTGTAACACATACCTTAGCGTGGCATGCAAATCCATATCTGCAGTCATTTTCTGTATTAACAAATGGAATGATTATTTTCTATTTCAAATATTAGTAGCATAACATGTAAGTGCAGATCATTCTGGCCACAAGTGTGGTAAGCCTTAACAAGTGTGTATTACAAGAGCATAAAATGCATAACATGACACTTACATCCAAAAACCTCTCTTTTTTATACTGTAACAAAGGCCGTCCTACAGGTAGAACTACAAGTTGCTGGACCCAGATCTTCAGTAGCAGGATTACTGACCTTCCTGGTTTTATTTAAAAAATAGAAGCAGTCACCATCAAAGCAGAACCATTAACAATCCAGTCAAAAGAATGCCATAGTTCCATTGAAAAAATAATTTGTCCATTTAGTAAACTCCATTACATGGGAAAGTTTTCATTATATAGGCATGTTAGAGTCTTACAGTGGTACTGTAAAGTCTTTCCTGTTGGGTATACATTTGTACAACCGCTATGATATGGTATAATATTATCAATAAAAATTGGTCAAACTGAGCTAAGCTTCACAAGACCACGCACTGAGTCTTCATGCAATGAATCTTGGCTGGCTAGGCTCAGGACGTGCATGGTATGGCTGTGTGTTATAGGGCTCCCTGCTGGCAGCATACCAGGAGGTGATGGAGCTTCCTCAGGAGTGAGAAACTGATGACCTTCATGTTCCTCTTTTAATGGTATCATGTCTGTCAAACCTGTTTCTGATGTGAGATTTGGCATGGAGGACGGTGGTGTCGGCTGCCCTAGGGTTAGCGTGGCACAAGGAGCACCGATAGTGGTCTTTCCTGGTAAAGGTAGCTCTTCACTAGTTATGCTGGGTTCACTCTGTAGTAGTGGTGTGGCAGCAGCCTGTAAAACGAATTTAGTGCTCTGAATGCACTGATCTTGATCACACTGAAGGGGGTCAAAACCCATATAGGGCAAACAAAACAGAAATGGGAGGATGTGGACAGAGGAGGTATGAAAAAAATGGGATGTGAGAAGAAAAAAGAGTCATTAGTATCATTCCATGGTTAGACTGCTGACAAAAAAAGAGCATGCATAACTAAACCAGCTGCATTCTGGGATGAAAGTCAGAGTAGATTATGATAAACTTTACAGTGCATGAGAGTCAGGGACTTCAGTTGACTCTAAAGAGGTACATTCTAAACAACTTTAACTTAGTTGGTTATTATTTATTCTTACTTGAAAATCTTGGAAATGCCTAATGATCAGATTTTGCTTGGTTTGCTGCATATTTGGACAAAAGTGGCAACTCAAATGTCACTGACTCCAAAAAGCATTTCAGCAGGCAGCTGGACAACTTTAACACAGCTTTTACTCTAGGATGGCTAGAAATTCAGAATTTTTTTTAAGACATATCGCAAATATCTTTTTGAGTTTTAGAGCACTAGGTGTATCTCCTTTCTATTTATTTTATCAGGCTTTGTGTAACCTTAGAATTACTGTGCTATAGGAGAGCTTTTTCAGGGCAAACATCCCTTTGAATGCAGCCAGTTTTGTAAAAATTCATCTAGTAATACAGTCTCATTGCCCAAGATTTTGCTTCCCAGGTTGTTTAAGCTGTTAATATTCTTCAGCCAGGAAATGTGTACAAAACAATTATCAACCTGCAGCTTGGTTGCATGGACTTGATAGAAAAGTTCACTTCCAGGGTTTTTTATGCTGCTTATTCATTTGTTTAATCTTGACAGTGTGGAGGACCAAAACATAGCTGATTAAACATTTGTTTTCTGGCAAACATCCAAGATTTTTTAAACATAATGGACCAAATTCGCTCAACTATAACTCCATTTAAGCCAGTAGAATTACACTGGTTATTAATTTGACCTAAAATCATTTACAAGGACAGTATTTGCAAAAATTAGTCAGTCAATGCCCAAGGTGGCTGAGTTGTAAACCACAATACCGTAATATGTCCAACTAACTAAAAATTGCAACACGTTCATGGGCAAACCATTGATTGGCAAAGATATCGTCCCTTCTTCAAAAAATCTATACCAAGGCATCAGTTTTGAGCTAACTGCCCTTTAAGGGACAGGCTAGGAGTAATCAAGGAGGCCGTGCCCACCCTAGGGTTGGGCTATCTAAACATGAAGAGGCAGCTGAGAGAGAGAGAGGGGGGAGTAGAAGCCATGTATGCTGTAGTGGGTGGTGATTTCTTTGTCTCCAGGAGACCGGCCTAATCAGACTCACATACTTGGTGTTATGTCTGAGAGCTTTGAACCAGGGTCTGGAGGTGAGGGTCTTATGAACCATTTGTTGTAACTACTCCTGCCCTTATGCCTTATTAAAGAGAACATGCTATTTTATTAGTGTGTATTGGCTTCTCCTCTGTCTTCCCTGCTGCTCCCAGGCTGTTAAAGCGAACCTACTACTGCCCCAATCAGGTGGAGCACAGCACCCTACTCACACCCCTGAGTTACATAAGTTTTGCCAACATAGGCTGTCGTGTAGACATATCCTTAATCAATTGCCTGCCACTGCCATGGTCTTTGGCATTGGTGCACCACTCAGATCGCTCACCAAGCAAAATGGCTTCACAGAAGCTACAATAAAATATAGTGCATAATGATCATATAATCCCAATACATAGGGCAAAAATGATAAGAGAGTCTAAATGGCTTAGGAGCCTAACTCCCATTTCCTTTTAGTGGGACTTGGGCATTTTTGAAACTTTTACCCACAATGTAGTTTGTATACTCCTTATGCATTTTGATCTTCCAGAATGATGTATACATTGAGTTTCGAATACATTCTTTTCTTTCATACAATCCTCTTATTCAAGGCCTGGTGGTGAGCACTCAGGCCTGGATCTAGCAAAGCACTGAAACATGTAAGTAGTCCCCATATGACTTCAAAAGCTTAAAACCGAGCACATGCTTCAGTGCTTTGCTGGGCAGGGGCAGAGTGCTCAGCACTTTGCAGGATCAAGTCCTTGACTGGCTATTCATTGTGAAGACCCATTCTTGATTAATAAATGGCTATTTCACTCCATCCCAAGTAATTAACTAAGCTATAGCCCCTGGATCAACCTTATTAGGAATGCCCTACAAAAATGGGGTCAGCATTCTAATCCTTCCAAAGAGACAACAAATTCCATCTTCTCTGAGAAGTACTAGTCAAAGACTATACTCTTACATAACAAATGCTATAACCACCAGAGCATACTCATAATAAATAATTTTAGCAGCTGATTTATTGCCTTAGTGATGTTTCAGCATTTATCTTCAAAAGCAGATAGTTGCCTAATGTGTTCCAGCACCATAAAGGTACACAATTTAAAATAGCATGAAGGCAATTTACTTAGATTTATGTAATGGTCTGTATTAAATCATTTTTATTGAATTCTAATTCATTGTAACTGAACCAACATCTCAAAGATACCGAGAAAGTAGCTTGATAAAGCTCCATTAAAAAGGAAGCCATACATCTATCAGAGTTTCATGTGTATACAAGAGTATTCTCTTTTTTCTCCACTTCCATGAGTCCTCCCCTTTTCTGAAGGTTGGTACCACATCTGATTTCCTGACCACTACTTTCTGCCTGGTACATCCCCAGCACGCCATCCCTTTTCCAAAATTATTTTCAGTAGTTTGGTAAATTCGTGAGCTAAATCCTTAATACCCTAAGAAGCCTGTCATCTGGACCAACTGACTCATAGTTGTTCATATTTCCCTAGTAATTCCTCCCCGGCCTTTTATCAATTGCTATTTCAAGTCCCCCTTTTAAAAACACTCCTTCCCACAGTCCTCCCTTCAGGGGAGCGATCTCGACAATTATTGCGGGGGGGAAATGAATCTAATAAGATACATGCTATACTTCACTATTCATTCACACTGCATTTTGTTGCCTCCTTGACTGTGCATACTGTCTAATACCCTAGATTTCAAACTCTTCATGGCAGGCACTATGCCTTTTTACATGGTTTGTAAGTCATCTTGCTCATTGTTGGTGCTATATACAAAAGATTACTAAAGAACAACATATTTCTCACTTCTTACTCTGTGTTAAGATGATTTCCTACCAAATGTGTAGTTATGCCAGTTCATATATACAGTACAATAATTATTAAAGATTTATACACCTTCAACTTGTGATAGCAACAAATTACTTGCATGGATCAATTAAAGAAAAGAGAACAGCCGGAACAGATCAGTGACAATCTCTAGTGCTTTTTTGCTGTTCAGGTGCACCGTTTCCTTACACAGCTTCTGTTTAGGTTTCCAATATTCTGCATTTTATGAACAGTGATCAAATATGCAACTTTTTATGTAAAATATAACAGTAAACAGCTTTCCACAATCTTAAACAGGCAAATCTTGGGACGTACTAGGTTTTAAATTTGTTTTGAGAATGGATTATAGTGGGATTTATATTATATGAGGCATATGCATGAAATGAATCTCTCAAATCTATGGCATTTTTATGCAAGTATAGCACTCTTCGGTTTGTGATATACTCAAGCTATCAAAAAGGAATTTGTCTACAAAAATAATCTGAAGGTGTTCCCTGATTACATGATATGTTTCCTAGGTTACACAAAATACAGGGGGAAAATGTTAGTAGGAAGTGCCCTCAAAGATATTCCACTGAATTTTTCAATATTAAAATTTTAGATTAAAAAAACCCTAAAAAGCCAACAATGGGGTATCAAACTATTTATAGCTCAATTGTTCGAAAAGATTAGAGTTAATTCCCTTGGCTCCTTCTTCCCCTAGATCCTATCATCTGATTTTGTTAGCTATACACAGCTTCCCCCTTTTTACTGGAGCAGCTGACTGAGCCTGAAAAATACTGGATCAAGTGCTTGTAAGTACACAAGTTCGATTGTGTATATTATATAAATATATCTATATCGAAATTTGTCATTTTGATATTTATTTTCACACCAACAGCCACGTACCAAATGCAAACTAGACAATGTGAAAAAGCTAATTCTTTACTTTATTTCACAAATAATTGATACAAAGACCTGTATGCACACAGGTTTTCTGAAGAAAATTTGATTTTACCCCATACAATTATTAGAGCTCTTGTTCATATTAATATAGCTCTCACACTTTAACACCACCAGCAGCAATTCTATTAGTTTTAAATGCAAAATTAACTTCATAGCTAAAATTCTCTAACAGCAATGTCTTTAAAAATGTTACAATTCTTGAAGTATTTAAGAAAAGGCTGCACAACAGAGTTCTCTAATGAGCTGCAAGTAAAACACAAACATTAATAAATGGTTAAGAGGAGGATTGGTTGAACTGAATGATGGAGTTATGACCTAGTGGGCATAACTGAAACCTGGTGAGATGAAACATATAACTGGCATGTCAGTTTAGATGTGCACAATCTATATGTGAAAGATGGAGGGATGGAAGGTGGAACTGTATATCAATGGACACAATGCCAGCAAGCTATCTTTTGACAGTGAAGGGTAGGATGATGATACACCTGGTAAGAATGGAAGGAATTGTGTTTGTGCAGTGCCCAGTGCAATGGGGCACCAATCCCAACTGGGGCCTTTAGGTGATATCATAATAGATATGAGCCCTGACCATGTCCTCAACTGAAGTCACAGATGCAGGGCTAGTGCCCAAACATAACCTCCAGTCCTAGGATAGGATTTTTTTTAAAAAAAATAAACTAACAACTCCACCACAAATATATGACTTAGCCTAAGCTTCTTCTCTCAGCTTGGTTGTCCCTTCAGGACCATCTGGCCTTAGCTCTGTGGAGAGCAGCTCTCATATTTAGGATATAGCCATGTCTTTGGTGATCTCTCCAAAGGTATTTCTCTAGATAGTCTTCTCTCTGCTGCATAGCCTTTGCCAGTAAGGATAGCCAAAAATCTGATGCAATGAAATCTGTACCCTTCCAGGCAGACTCTCCATGTACTTCTCCAATATTGTCAAATTCACTAATTCTATTAATAGCTGTGTCTTGAGCAGGGCCGGATTAACGCTGGGGCTTTCAGGGCTGCAGCACAGGGCCTCAGGCTAAGGGGGGTCCCGCAAAAATAAATCCATAATTATATACAATTCAGTAGTCAGCAACCTGTCAATCGCGATCAACTGGTCGATCCTGGAGCCTCTGCCAGTCGATCGCGATCTCCGGGCCGCTAAAAGTCCAGCAGCGCAGCAGGGCTCAGGCAGGCTGCCTGCATGCCATGGCCCCATGCCACTCCTGGAAGTGGCTGGCTGCTGGCACGTCTCTGCGGCCCCTGGCGGGAGGGGAGGCGGCTCCATGCACTGCCCCCCCCCCCAGCACCGTCCCCGCAACTCCCATTGGCCAGGAACTAGCCAATGGGAGCTGCGGGGGCGGCGCTTGCTATTATATGCTGCAGATGGCATAGGCCTTCACCACTTGACACACAAAAAAATCTCCACTAGCTGTCAGCAGTGGTAACTATAGTATTAGCAGTTCTCCTACAACAAAAATAAGAACTAGAGGGAAGGTCAGTTACAGATGGAGAAGGTCTCATTCTATCTGCTGTTCAGTGGTACTCACACAACAGTAAAAACATCACAGAAATTCAGGATAAATTGATGCTTCCAGAGTGAGTTCGGGGTCATGCCCTACCTACTTAGCAACTGCTGCTAGGTAAGCACTGCGTTGTAGCAAAAGCAGCCTGTAAGACAACTGCAAAGATATACTCTAGGAATTATTTTGGGGAAGTCCTATAGCTTGTATTATACAGGAGGTCAGACTAGCTGATCACAGGGTTCCCTTCTGGCCTTGGAATCTATGAAAAAACTGAAGAGTGGATATTTGAGGGTTCTGGGGGAGTTTGTATCTAGGAGAAAGACAGGACTTGGCAGATAGCTGAAGACAGGCTGCTGGAATCCTAACTGGAAATGGAAAGGCTGGTAAGAACTCAGAGCTAGCAGCAAGGCTAACTGAAGGTGACAGGAAGGGAAAAGACTTGTAACGTGGCAGAGCCCAAGGTCCAGGATATGAATGAGGATGATTTTTTAATGCAGCTTAAAGATGGAATGGGACTATCACAGAATCATAGAAATGTTGGACTAGAAGGGACCTCAATAGGTTATCTAGTTCAGTCCCTCGCACTGTCAAGTAAGCCAGGCTCACCTGAGGAGGAGCCTGAGGTCACGAGAGGGGTCCATTGGAAAGTACGAGAACATGCAACTGAGAGCATGGAATGTGAGGGAAGGTTGGAAAAGGAGCTGTGAGGAGCAACAAAGATATGCTCTGTCACTAGACTATCAGACTGGCTAAAGAAAGGAAGTTAAGAACCCTCTTCTGAACTATGTTAGGTATAAAAAATGAACAATTTTGGATAGGTAAGAGATATGACCCTGTGCAAAAGATCAGGATACTGAACAGCTCAACAAAACTCAGGGGAGATTTTTGGAGGTTCAAACATCATGTAGGCACTTAACTCCTACTGGAAGCCAATTAAAGGCAGGCACCTATCTCCCATTTGTGTGTTTGAAAATCTGCCCATAACATATGTGATGTGTGGAGGTGTGGGTCTTTGGCCTATAAGTTCTAGGACTGGAAGGTACAGCATCTTGAGAAACAAGATGTCAGAGACTCTTAAAAATATTTCTATATGTAAACACATGTCCTATTCAATTTTCCAAGTGTCCCCTGTGAAGTCATTTTCAGGCATGAAGGCTGGACAGTTGTCATAAAGGGTTCAAAGTGACTATGCTCTCTTCTGTGGCTTATCTTCATCCAAGGTTTTTCCCACCTCAGGTCCACTGAAATTCATTCCATCACGAGGCAAGTCCTAGAGCATTTGAAAATCTAATTCCAGTACCTAAAGCTATACTACTGTGTGCCTACATACATCACTCTTTATTCAGCAGCATGCACTGGTTTGACTCAATTCCCCCTTTACATTTGATCATCTCAGTACATTTCATGATCAATGTTGCAACATCTTTCCACTTTTCCAGAGATACAAAAGCTGCAAAGTCAGTCTGTTGACAGGCTATTTGATCAGGAATATCTGGTAGGTGATGAGTATTCTGTTCCTAGAAAACCTGTGTGTCACAGTGACTTCACCAGCTTCAGAGGTCTCAGGTGCACAAATATGACTGTATTAGTGAATTTAATTAGGCACATGCATTGAAGCATATAAACTATAGTATGGGCATATCTATGTTGTAGGGCAGGGGTTCTCAAACTTCACTGCATCACGACCCCCTTCTAAGAACAAAAATTACTACATGACCCCAGAAGTGGGCTTCGGCCTGGGCAGTGGGGCTCGGGCTTCAGCTTTGGCCCTGGCTCCCAGAAAGTCTAAGCCAGCCCTAGCGACCCCATTAAAATGGGGATCCAACACACAGATTGAGAACTGCTGTTGTAGAGAGTTCTAAAAGAATTTGATGCTGAAAGGAAAGGCTAAATGCGTAGCTGGACTGGGATGATCAAAGAGATCTGCTGGAAGAGACTCCATATTATGTCTATATAATTGTTCCAAAGTGACAGAATATGACAAAGACCTACTGTGGCTAATTTGTCTCTGTACATAAGAATCCCTGACAGAGTCCAAGGAAGTTTGGCTGAGCGTGTCCTGAAACATTTCAATATATTTCCAGGATTTTACAGTTTGAGGTAATCTTCTTGAGTAGAACTTGCACTGAGATCTAGCATGGCCTGCCCTGTAGGTAGCTGACAAAAAGCTTAAGATAAATGCCGTGATTGTACTTGAAGTCATCAAGGTACTTCTTGTTAAAAATTATAAAAAATAATAAAACTTGTTAAAAAAATAACATTATAAAGAAAACTGACAACCATTCCACTAAACCCTTGCAGCAATAAATGGAAACAATTCTAAAATCTTATAGCAGAATCTTTATAAAAGTTTAAGTGATAGTAAAGCTCACAAAGTCATGAGAAGTGTATTCTTTCTTCAGTCAAAAATCAAGCCTGAAATTATGCTAGAAGGCTGTGGTGAGAATTTATTTCCCTCCCTCCCTTTGAGGAAAGAAAAAGTGCATAGAGTCCATACATTTAATGAATCTTTAACATATCCTCACAATCTACAAACTGGAAGAACAAGAGGTCAGAAGTGGGCATCTTTGCTACTTATTCTCTTCTTCTTGGCACTGATGTGAGTCCTTTGCCATCAAGGGGAACAACAGGAACCATTGGCACATTTTTGGAAGATTTATTAAAGTTCTGAATATGGTATTGAGGTTGCCTGTTGTTCATTAGAAGTTCAAAGTCCCCCTCCTTTTTCTCAAAATGCACCCACCCATCTTAAACATCTCCTCTTGTTAACCTGTCCTGTATAAATATGTGTCAGTCTAGAAAAATCTGCACTGCACAGGCAAAGGAAGAAAGAGTATGTGAGAAGAATACGATACCAAATGATACTCTGTTCTGCAAAACTGATGAATCGGGGTACATCCATGACAACCGAATAGTCCAATTCAAAACAAGGCAGATATCAACAGGATATGTAAAAGTGACACTGTATATTCAGTAGACAATAGATTTCAAAGTGTAGAAAAAAAAACACATTTTTCTATTGTCCATGAGTAAAAACTATCATTATTGTATAGATATAGATAAAAACCTTGATTTCTTACTGCATAAGCCTATTGCAGTATAGTTAATAATGAACAATTCCACCTATCAGAGTGGCAGCTGTATCCAGTTAGTTTATTACTTGATTAGTTCACATGAAAGCGGAGAAGGGAAACATTCACAGGGATCTTGATGAACAACACTATGGGATGGTTCCTACCATGTTGCTCTGAGACTGTGTTGCCCCATACATTGTAATGCCATTTGATGGTGCTGCTGGCTGTGGTGTATCTGGCTGTATAAATCCTCTTCTGTCAATTAGACTACAGAATAATAATAAAAAAAACACACACACAAGATTGTTAGAAAGATTGTTCTGATTAATAATTCTCCACCCCCAATAAAAATAGGTTTCAATATTACATCATCAAATCTTAATGCATCACCACTACCTTCAAATATAACCTGTATTTCAGATCTGAGAAATGTGACTTCACCTCAACTCACCAATAACAAAAGAAAATTAGTTACCTGCAACTGCTTTTCTACATGGAAAGTGATTATGAGAAGAGGCACATTTCTGGGTTTCTACCTCAGGTGTAAAATTTGGATGCTGACTAGCAAATAAAAAAGAATTTGGAACCCTTGAGGGAGAGACAGATTGAAAGACCCCCATAGTGCACTCTGCATCTGTGTCTCTTCTGAAGTGTCTACATTATCTTCTCTTGCAATTCAGCTTCTGAATTTGTTGCCAAAGGCTGAAACCCAAAATTATGAATCTATTATAATTTACTTAACAAGGAATTATCATGAAAGAAACAGAAGGGAGCACTAGTGTAGAATATTTACCAGTAGTTTTACTAATCTTATGCATCTCTGCCCATACCAGAACCTCCACTATAGCGATCACAGACAGTGCTGAACCCAGGGGAGTAAATAGGAAATATTAAAAGCAGAAGACTAGTGTAGACAAGGCTTACATTCAGATAGGTTTGTGTAGAATTTTAATACACAAAGGTAAAAACAGAGGGAACAGTGTGAGTGAAACACAAAATGAACAGTCTGGTGAAGAACTTGAACAAAGCTGTTTGCTGGAATTCTGAAAGTAGTGTGATCACACTGTGTATTATAGGCTGCACGTTGGTTTTGGCAGCTAATATCTATGTACAAGACTATATACACTTCTAAATAAACTAAACTTACAGCTTGTCTACATTGCCCCACAGTTTGGACTACAGGAGTGTGAACAGCAGCGCGCACCAAAGAGCTGTGCTGCAACTCCACTGTGTGGATGGTGTGGGTGCAAACTAAAAGGAATACAATGTACAAGCAAAAGAGTAATTACATTATTCTGTTTTCTGAAAACAATTAACTGCTTGGAGTTCCTCACTTCCAACAGATGTAAATGCTGCAATGAAAGATCAAAGAACCACCAAACAAGTTTATTTATGTTTCAGGTGTATGAACCTGTACTTTAACTGTTTTACTAGATCTAATTGCTGACTCAGCCATAAAACAGAGTTAGCAACTTACTTGTATCCGTCATCTAAAAAGATGAGTTTCACTAAATAGTACAACGAAGCCCTGTTTTAGTTGAGCAAACTGAAGTAAGATAACAAAAGTCAAACTTAGATCAGTAAGTCTGTGGTCTCATCCTATACAAAAACATTACTTTTAGTAACTCTTACCTTGGAGAGATGGGCCCGCACAGCGCTGCACAACAATTAGTAAAGATGTTGCCATAACTGTATGGATTGTAATTCTCTTTACCTCTTTTATTTGACCAAGATCCTTTAATCTAAAGAGACATGAATATAAAATATCACATACTATGTCACATACAATTGCTGGGGCAAATTAGAGGTAATCACAGTAACAACAAATATGATAATCATTATTTATGATTTGTGGAAGAAAAGAGGAAAAGAATGTTTAAAAGAACATCTGTACTAACCCCACAGCCTTAAAAGGGCTTTGGGAGAATCTCCATGACACAACCACATAGAGGCTATATTCACTATTTCAATTTCAGAATATGTAAATTGGAGTAATGGCTACTAAGCAAACCTAGCATTTTTGTGTATCACACAATTATGAAAAAAGCTACAATAAATTAGATAAAAATAAAAAGTAAATTTGGAGTAATTCCTTCAAAAAGCTTATGTCAGTATATTTGGATTAAATGGAAAAACTAAACAATGCTCTCTTATACCATCTGTTAGTTAGCTTTAGTCTTCCTTTAGTCTCAATAATTCTTAATAATCTGGTTAGGAGAGACATGAAGTATCTGTCTCCACAGTTAGTTAAATGAACTGTTGTGACACTGGAACCAATGGACCCATCCTCCATGTAGAACGGAGACTGTAAAAGCGGATAAGGCTGACCTCTGAACTAATGATTTATTCTCTATTGGGAGAACCAGCCCTCATTTGCCAGAGCACTCAAACAAAATTTAGTTTAAATGGCAGAAAGTCAAAGACAGACAAGACACATGATGGAACTTGTTTTCAAAACCAGACTGGTTGATATTTTCTGAAACTTTGTTCAAGTCTGAGTTGTTTTTGAATTACAGATTATGTAGGATTCTAGTGGAAAACATTGGAAAAAGAGTGCTATAGACAGCTGGATACTTCCCCACTGAACTGAAGTGTATAAAATACAGAGACTTTTTGAAGGACTGGCTTTCACTTGCATTTTGTTGTTTTTGTTTGTTTCTTCTGTGTCTGTCATTTTCTGTTCCCAGAAACTAGTCTAATGGGTCTTATTGAACCTTGGTTATAATTAGGGCTGTCAAGCGATTAAAAAAATTAATTGCGATTAATCGCGCTGTTAAACAACAATAGAATACCATTTATTTTAAATATTTTTGGATGTTTACTACATTTTCAAATATATTAATTTCAATTACAACACAGAATACAAAGAGTACAGAGCTCACTTTATATTTATTTTTGATTACAAATATTTGCACTGTAAAAAACAAAAAAATTGTATTTTTCAGTTCATCTCATACAAGTATTGTAGTCAGGGCTGGCTCCAGGCACCAGCCGAGCAAGCTGGTGCTTGGAGCGGCAGCTTGTAGGAGGTGACATTCCGCCCAATCCTAGGGCGGCACGGCCGCTTTTTTTTTTTGTTCTGCTCTGGCTGCCCTGTAGGGGGCGGTGGCGTGGAGGACGGGAGCGCCCTGCAGCAAGCCCAGCAGGGCAGCCCGCGTCCTTCCCTCCCAGCCGACCGGAGCAGTGCGGAGCCTCCCGGCCCCCTTCTCTTTCTGCCCCCGCTCCCTCCCCCTCCCCCCGCTAGCCGGGGCACATCTGCAGGACAGGGAGTCCCCCTGCACCCTGGCTCCGGCCGCGCCACACGTTTTTTTTTTTTTTTTTTTTTATTTTTTTTTTCTGGCCGCCTTGTTTTTGTTTTTTTGTTTTGCTTGGGGCGGCCAGAAAGCCAGAGCCGGCCCTGATTGTAGTGCAAACTCTTTATCATGAAAGTTGAACTTACAAATGTAGAATTATGTACAAAAAAACTGCATTCAAAAATAAAACAATGTAAAACTTTAGAGCCTACTAGTCCACTCAGACCTACTTCTTGGTTAGCCAATCACTCAGACAAACAAGGTTGGTTACAATTTGCAGGAGATAATACTGCCTGCTTCTTGTTTACAATGTCACCTGAAAGTGAGAACAGGCATTCGCTTGGCACTGTTGTAGCTGGCGTTGCAAGATATTTACATGCCAGATGTGCTACAGATTCCTATGTCCCTTCATGCTTCAACCATCATTCCAGAGGACATGCTTCCATGCTGATGATGGGTTCTGCTTGATAATGATCCAAAGCAGTGCGGATCGCTGCATGTTCATTTTCATCATCTGAGTCAGATGCCACCAGCAGAAGGTTGATTTTCTTTCTTGGTGGTTTGGGTTCTGTAGTTTCCGTATCAGAGTGTTGCTCTTTAAGACCTCTAAAAGCATGCTCCACACCTCGTCCCTCTCAGATTTTGGACAGCACTTCAGATTCTTAAACCTTGGGTTGCGTGGTGTAGCTATTTTTAGAAATCTCACATCAGTACCTTCTTTGCGTTTTGTCAAATCTCCTGTGTAGGTGTTCTGAAAACGAACATGTGCTGGGTCATCATCCGAGACTGCTATAACATGAAATATATGCAGAATGCAGGTAAAACAGAACAGGAGACATACAATTCTCCCCCCAAGGAGTACAGTCACAAATTTAATTGACGCATTCTTTTTTTAACAAGCATCATCAGCATGGAAGCATGTCCTCTGGAATGGTGGCCGAAGCATGAATGGGCATATGAATGTTTAGCATATATGGCAGGTAAATACCTTGCAACGCCGGCTACAAAAGTGCCATGCGAACACCTGTTCTCACTTTCAGATGACATTGTAAATTAGAAGCAGGCAGCAGTATCTCCCGTCAATGTAAACAAACTTGTTTGTCTTAGCGATTGGCAGAATAAGAAGTTGGACTGAGTGGACTTGTAGGCTCTAAAGTTTTACACTGTTTTGTTTTTGAGTGCAGTTATGTAACCAAAAAAAAAATCTGCATTTGTAAGTTACAATTTCATGATAAAGAAATTGCAATTCAGTACTTGTATGAGGTGAATTGAAAAATGCTATTTCTTTTGTTTATCATTTTTACATTTGTAATCAAAAATAATAATATAAAGTGAACTTTCTGCATAAAGTTCAACTGGTATTCTATTGTTATTAAGTGCGATTAATCACAATTAATTTTTTTAATCACAATTAATTTTTTTGAGTTAATCGTGTGTGTTGACTGCGATTGACAGTCCTAGTTATAACCCAATCAATATTTTCCCATCTAATCTCAAAAAGGATTAAAACTACTTTTGTAACTTGCATTTTCCCTGCAAGTTTAAGGTGGATGTTTAACATCATATATAGTTATTATAAAGCCAAGCTTCAGACTATGAGAAAGAATGCTGAAGTTTTTAGAACTAGGGGTAGAATGTACTAAACACCTAATGAATCTCTAAAACAGTGGTCACTGCATCAAGTGTTACCAGGTCATGGTGCCCTATCACCTCCTTCCTCACCAAGACATGCATACAAATATGCAGATAGGTTTTTTTGCGGGGGAGGGGAGATACTCAGCAGGATCTACAGGAAAGAAACTGAAAATACAAATAATGAAATTTAACAATCCTTTAATATTTACTAAATGAAAACAGGTATGCAATTACACTATGAAGTCAAGAACTTACATCTTCATTTGTTGTTTGATTGGAGCTGATCAAATATGTATGAAAACCTGAGAGACCAACAATAGACCAAACGGAAAAAAAACACACGACAGCTTCCAGCACAGTGATTAAAAGTCAAGGAAGTACAAATTTGTATGAAATCTAATAATAATTAATAATAGCACTCACATAGTGATTTTGTCTTTAAAGTACTGCACTTTGAATTCTGCACAAACATTTGCTGAGTAATCCTCAAAACACCTGTATTAGGAAAGTATGTAAGTAAATGGTAGTACATAGTTTCACTTATAGATAGACAGACAGAGAGCTACATTCCATGACTTACTCAAGGCCACACGATGAGTCAGTGACAAAGATGAGATTAGAACTGTGTTTCCATAGCGTCTAGCACAAAGGGTGGTGGCCCATGATTAGGGCTTCTAGGAGCTACAATAATTCAAATAAATAAGAACAGTTTATGAGTTTCTGGCTTCCAGTCACACGTGAAATCTATTAGACCAGTGAGATTCAGACTGAGGCTTGCAAGCAGCTCTTTAATGTATCTCCTGCGGCTCTTTCCAGCACATGATATTAAAACACTATGATTTAATTATTAACCAATCAGGATGCTTTTACTATGTTATTAACCAATTGTAGTTGATAAATAATATTTGGTCAGTCATTTTCTTGTGAGAATAATATATCTAAACTAAATATTTCCCCATCATACTGTTTCAATATGAATATATAGTATTATAGTAAATGAAAGAATGAATTCACACTAGTGTAGCTTTTTTGGTAATGTGGATTGCTAATTTGGCTCCTGAACCACTGAGGTCTGAGTATCACTGTAGTAGACCATGCTGTCTGTCCTCTGTAACTGAAGCAGAGATACCGATTATACGTGTCCTACAAAATCATAATGACAATGTATTAGCCCAGGTATGGTACAAATTCCACTTGTTCTCCATTACCATCATGATTACATTCATGGCTGTGTTATAAACAAATACACACACACACCTGCCATAGGCACGTGACTGAGGAATTTGCAAGGCCTGTTTACAACTTTTACCTTTGTGAATTTTCCTACTGGAAACAATGCACTGAAAAGCACCAAAAACCTTTTATTCAGTACTACAGAATGAACATAAGCAAGATATTTCACCATTCAGTCAACTGTGCCTCAATATTACTTTTAAGCTTTGTCTTATTAATTTTTCCTCTTTTTCTTTCCAATCTACCTTCCCTCTCTTCCTTCTGCAGAGGCCTTTTTACCTTAACTACAACCCCAAAAAAATCAGTAACTAGCCTTTTCCAGGACCAACATCTATGTTACTATTAAATTGGTCAACATTAGGTGCTGTGCAGTGCAGCTTACAACATGCCTTTAACTCTGACTAAAAGACATAATCTCAATGACAAGGTATCATATTTTGCTCTTAAACCTTGTTTATCTCAGTAAGACAGCAAGCTACTACAACCAAAAGACCACGTCTATCCTTTCAATTGCTATTTATTTCAGTTTATGTACAATAGCTAGGAAATTGGAACTCGTCTTACTCTATATTAATATATTTATGTTTGATAGTCTATATATACACCAAAGAAGAGAAAAAGCGTTGTCTCCTACAAAAATATATAATAAATTAATAAGGAACATGGCAATTGGAAAAGAACATGATGACAATTAATCTATACGAATCATTTTCCAAAACAACTGTTTCTCAAAATATTCACAAACAGGGACATTGTAGGCCACAAAATGCACTACTCAGATCCTCATCAATACCTGTTTACATAAGAGAAAGAGAAATATGCATGACCCCTTAGCACTATGAAAATAAAGAAGCCAGAAAAAGCAATACCAGGAATGCCCTGGTCTCTTACCATTTAAAAATTACAACAAACATATTCAGGGCATTATTTAACAGTCAAGGACCATAACACTGCTGTGATCCAATAAACATGGGAACTATACATTATACAATTGCATAAAAACCTCATAAAATATTGCTAAATTTGCAAAGTCATTATAATGCCACTGGCAACAACTTTGCTCTAACACAACTTAGTTTAAATGGCAGAAACTTTCAAAGCCAAGCAGAAATGGAAATGTGCCAACAATTCATTAGTTTTGCTTAGGGTATAAAACATTTATAATCAGCTCTTTAGAACTATATCTTGCAGAAACAGGATGGATAGAAGAACCATGATGAATTTCTGAGCAGCAGGTTTGCTACTTTTCTTCCTCTCCCTCCGGAGTGATTTGAAAGGTCAAAGATGAGCAGGAAAGGAGCTTGCACTGAGGACCAAGCCGTAGACACAGCAGCAGGCAGCCTGTGAACTAGGACAAGAAGGCTAAGGCACAGAGAGCCTGGCAGGAGTTTGGCAGCAGCAGGATACAGGCAGAAGAACCTGCAAACAGGAGGCAGAAGGCACCCCCTCTAAAATTGACTGCTGCGTGGTAGAGCTCTTAAGTGAAACTGCCAACGACACAACTAAACACTGTCTAGCAGGATCTACTCATCGATATTTAAACTGTCCTCTGAGACAGGGTTGGACTAGAAAAGACACCCCAGATATCAGGTCTGAGGAACACCAGTTACCCTCCTATCCTTATAGCTGACTGCCCCCTTGGGACAGAGTTAAGAAAAACTGTTTATCTTTTATTTCAACTAAGGACTAAGCCATTGTACCTAAGGTATCAGAGGGGTAGCCATGTTAGTCTGTATCCACAAAAACACAACCTATCCTGGAAAACGATCCCTCTCTCTCACAGACCTTGGGAGGCAGGCCAGTCCTCGCTTACAGACAGCCCCCCAACCTGAAGCAAATACTCACCAGGAACTACACACCACAGAACAGTAACCCAGGAACCAATCCCTGTAATGAACCCTGTTGCCTATTCTGTCCCCATATCTACTCTAGCGACACCATCAGAGGACCCAACCACATCAGCCACACATCAGGGGCTCATTCATCTGCACATCTACTAATGTGATATATGCTATCACGTGGCAGCAATGCCCCTCTGCTATATACATTGGCCAAACCGGATAGTCTCTACGTAAAAGAATAAATGGACACAAATCAGACATCAGGAATGGTAACATACAAAAGCCAGGAGGAGAACACTTCAATCTCCCTGGACACTCAATAACAGATTTAAAAGTAGCCATCGTTCAACAACAAAAAAAACCCTTCAAAAACAGACTTCAAAGAGAAACCGCAGAGCTACAATTCATTTGCAAATTTAACACCATTAATTTGGGCTTGAATAGGGACTGGAAGTGGCTAGCTCACTACAAAAGCAATTTTTCCTCTCTTGGTATTGACACCTCCTCATCAATTATTGGGAGTGGACCACATCCACGCTGACTGAATTGGCCTTGTCAGCACTGGTTCTCCACTTGTAAGGTAACTCCCTTCTCTTCATGTGCCAATATATTTATGCCTGTATCAGTAATTTTCACTCCATGCATCTGAAGAAGTGTGTTTTTTACCCACGAAAGCTTATGCCTAAATAAATCTGTTAGTCTTTAAGGTGCCACCAGACTACTTGTTGTTTTTGTACCTAAGATACTTTCAACCTTTTCTTTCTGCCAGCCCTAGTGAATAATCCTTTCCTTTTAACTACGTATGTGAGCACTTTTCAGGAAGCCACAAGGTGCTAGATCTGTAGGGTCAGTGACTAAATGCTCATAAGCACGCCCTTCTGAGACTATTTTATACCTGGTGATTTATCAAGTATATGGAAAGTTTTGGAGCACTGCATCCCCCAGAGAAACCTATTGGGGTGGGACCAATTATACAACATTCCCTTATTAACAGGGCACTGTTAGTGATGCTTAATTAAGCAAACTGCTTTACAGGATCTCCATATTGTGGGTATTCTTGTATAAACTTTTCTAAGGTCATCACCATGCAGTTTGAGGAACTTAAATACATGGATGAATTTATGCTCACAGCACCTGAGTGAGGCAGGGAAGCATTAGGTCATTCTGACAGGCTACACTATCTGCCCCTGCCAGGGCTCCTGTGGGAGGGAAAGAGACCCACTGTTCTAGGCATATTCAGTTAGCTCCTCACTTCACACTTTCTAAGTGCAGGAGTGAACTGCTGAGCCTTGTGCTTCAGGACTCACTGAGTGTGAGCTTCCATAATAAGGTTTTTTGATTCAAGGTAAGTGTTTGGGAATTTGTCCCTTTACATTTATAGTAAAAGGAATAAAGTCAATTCACTTAAATAAGAGGTGCTTAGATGAAGACGTAGGAATTGCGAGGAAAACAAAGGTACAGTATAAAAGATATATCCTCAGTTTAATATGTAGGAAGCTTTTTAACTCCCTGTTCATCAAGATGAGCAAATAAAATGGAAGCTTATTTGTTATTAAAAAGATAATTGATTTATACATAGTTGTTGAATATACAGCAGCTAGGCTCAGCTATTGAGTACAGTAATATTGTCTACTACAGCTAGACAACTCGGTTTGTCACATAGCATTGTTAGTGAGGTATCAGTTGAAAAGCAAGGCTCTCTCTTCACAAACTGTCTTGCCCCAAAACAAAATTTCCAGTACTGTTGATGCAATTTTATTTTGTATTGTTAGGAATTGCAACCAACCTATTAAACTGTCCAACATGTCACATTCTAAAAGAGCTGCTTCTACAAAATGCTCTATTGAGCCTCTCAAACTGGCATGACTTTGAATGCAAATTATGAAAAGCCTATTGTTCCTGTACAAGGATCCACAAGTGTGGGATCAATTACCTTTTGATTTAAGAACAATTGAAAGCTTTTCCCATTTTGAGAGAACTGAAAGACTAATCCACTATTAGAAGTGATTTGTAATTCTTTTATGTGGAAGTTATTGTTGTGCTATTTAGGATAGATTGCTTGTTTGTGCTTCCTAAAAACTGCGGCCTTGCTTAAAAAGGAGGTTATGGCTCAATGATTCTACATCATGAACACACAAATCAATGAACATGATAAAAATTAGGTCTGCAGAATTTAGCAAACTTGACGTTTTAGAAATATACAGGTGACAACACTCAGGAGTGAAATCTTGTCACTTCTGCCTTTTACATATTTCTTTAGCAAAAATGTAAGATTCTGCCAATT